TCCCAAACTTAAGAAAATCTTCTTTCTATATTTATGAGATTTCTATGAAAAAAGCTGTGGTTTAAAAAATACAATCTGTATTTCATATTAGTTAGTGATTTTTTCCTTCTAGATAAATAATTCTGAGGTGAAGCACGGTCACAGACTTTTACAGAAATAAGTCAGTTGGAGTTGTATAAAAATAGCCATTTTTTCTCTATTTGCATGATATTTTGTACAAGAGGTCAATAATCATATAAAGTCTGAAAACGAGTAGAATAATACTGAATTTGTGGTTAAAAGACCTTTCCTTGATAAAAACACCTCTTGCACAATGGTAGCTCATGTAAGGACTCGGTAGCAAAATAAAAAGAAAGCAGAAGCAAAAGGCCAGTTTCTAAAACAAGGCATTATTCTCTTCAGCTAATGGGGAGCCCATCTCTTCCGTCTCTCTGCTCCCCAACAGCAATTAATGTTGAAGAGGCTGTTGTGTTTGGTATTGTTTCCCCTTAAGTATGCACACATCTCAATGTTTGTTCCAAACTATGGAAAAGAGACAATGAAAGAGAATAGAAGATTTTTTCAAAGACTTAATTGCACAGTGTGGTATTTAAGTCATGCATTATTGAAGTTGCATTTCCCAAGGAGCCAGCCATTTTAAGTAATTAGCAACTGGTTTGTTAGTTTTCCATCCTAAGGCAAAGCTGATAATGGGTAACTATCTAAAAAAGGATCTGCTTGCTAAAGTAGTAGCAGTTTCCAGAGGCATTATTATGAAGACTTAATAAATAGTTTACTGAAATGATATTTCATTTCTGAAGAGTCTGGGCAAGTAGCATAAGGGTGGTGCAACCCTTAGAAACCGGCTGTAATAGAAAATTTGCTATATTTATTAGCACTTAGGAACTAATTTTCTAGTACTCGCAGCAGAGAATACTTTCCATTTGACAAATCATTGATAAGTCCTGTGGCTTCCTCTTCCCTGCTGCTGCCTGGCATGCTGGTCTCTTCCAGTAGTCATTTAAAAATGAAAGGGTTCATTTTTAAATCATCAAGATTAGCACTAGTGAGCAGGGTGCTCAGACCCAGAGTCAGCTTGTAGGCCTCCACCCTGCCTGATCTAGTAACACAGGGCTGAAGGAGTGGCAAGGGGTGGTGACACAATTCCTTCTCTTCAAAAGCAATTCCACATTTTAAAGACTGATATTATTAATCAAAACGGCAGCAGAGACACAGGTCATCCGTTCTTGAAACTTCTGTTTTGGTAGCCCAGTGGGTGAAACAATCAACTGAATGGAAAGCAGTACACAAAGAGAGAAGGGCATCAATAACCTGTAGAGAAAC